GTAACAGTTGAAGTGTCAATCAGATCAAAGTCAAAGAAAATTATCAAGAAAATCGCTTAATTTTTTGCATTTGACAAGATAAGGATTATCACATCTTTGAATTAAATATTCTGAATATAAATATTACCAACCTTGGTGCCAGTATTTTCATTCACACCATGCATGCCTGGTTCACCTTTCTCTCCCTGGATAATTTAAAATGAATCGAAATAATGTCCCGGTAACCATGACAACGATTTGATTGATATACTATGAGTAACGACTAAGTACGTCATATACAGTTGAACACGTTTGTATACTCAAGTCCGTTTCAATGCCATTTTATTTCTAACAATGGTTACATTATAGTTTTAAAAATATCTAACCTTTGCTCCAACTGTCCCATCACGTCCATCTCGTCCTATGTTGGAAATATTGGCGATAAGTACAAATTGTGAAAACACCGATAAACGAAAACAGCCAAAAAAGTCACGTCTTAAACATTTACATCTTCAACATAGTACTTCTTTTGTTTCGACTTTGTAAAAGGTTTCACATGTGACACCTTCGTTTTCCAAAAAGTGTATTATTCACATTAATTTTCAGTCATTGAAACTCGTTGTAATATTAACTTGACACATGTAAACATCACGTTACTAGTTTAGGTTTCTTTTCTCTCCCTAAATTCCCATAAGGGACCAGTCAGTTAGTCAGCCCGAGGATTTTGGTAGAGTTATGATTAAATTTACCTGATCCTCCCCGAAGGCTCTTTAGTATTCTTATGATTCCCCACCACAATCTTTTCCCCCTTAAACCATGTTTCCCCCTTAAGTCCTCCACCAACCCCCCCCCCCCCCGCAGAAAATTAAAAATAAATAGTCCCTGCCACTTTTTGTTTATGAAGGAATCACGTTGAAAATATTTCCCATCTAAATCAAAAATTCACTTTGAATAAATAACTACATCACCGTTTATTCCATCGCGTCCATCTTAAAAAGCAGATCAATTTTCCTATGTTAGGTTGGTAGATAAACAGTTTATTTTTTATCGTGAAAAGTCATTTGTTTTTAAGTCAATAACTTGATAAATGAACCAAAACTTTTGCACACTCACCGTTTTGTCCATCTTTTCCGTCTTTTCCTGTCCAGAAATTAACAGAAACAAAAACATCAGTAAAGAAACTCGAATTTCTTTCTTTCTCGCCCATATGAGCAGATGCAAATAAATATATGTGCGTTACGAGTACTGAAGTATTTTTATTATTATTCTTAGGTAATTATAAATCAACTGAAAAAGGTGGGATTCTTGTTCGAAGTTTTACTCACCATCTTTACAGTAACCAGCTTGTGAAGCACAGCAGTTTGATTTTGTCGTTGTTCTATGACTCTGTTGAAAAATGAACAATGTGCCCATGAGTTATGAAATGAAGGAGTTGTTGGGAAGTTACACGCTCGAGCAAAACACAAAAATTCTCACTTTCACTCGAATTCCGATTTGACGACAATTTAAGCCTTTAAGCCTAGCTATCAATTTGGTTACCTGATAAGCAGATTTCTTTTGTGAGCTCGCGAAGGAACTTAACAAAAAGGCTAGAGCCAACACAAAGAGTAAGCGAAACATTTTCGCTTTCAGAGCCCTCCGATATGAAATGGCAGACGAATCAGTCAGCATACGGGGAACAACTTTCCAAATCTGTTTATTTTGCCCCACAACAGGAAAATTCAGGATGTCCTAGGGCTTGTGTTATGAAAAGTGTTTACAATGCACAATGAGAATTTGTAGTTTATGGATTATGATATGCTAACTGACCGACTACGATGAACTTCCCATGTCTCCTTAAAACATCGTTATCTTGTACAGTTATCTGGTATGGAGAATTTAGAACCTTATCAGTGGAGACGATTTGCTTGATCTTTAAGTAAATTCTCACTTATAACTGTAGTTTACAAAAGTGTTTTGATCTGTGGAAGGAAAGGTGTCCATAGCAAGAATTCAGCTCGCTCTAGAAAATAAGTGTGCACCTTTTTGTTAAAACCATTCTCGTGTAGCTTAATGTCTTTGTAACGTCGCCATTTGCTGCAAGCAAGTTTGAAAGGAAAAAAAAGCGGTTGACTGCAACCGCAGATGAGAACACTGTACCGCAATTATTGAAAAGCGACTGACGAGAATTAGTTTACCTAATTATCATTTTAACTAGCAAAATATTATCAGTCGTATAATTCCAAAGTTTCCTTTAAATAAAATCATTTTCCCAATGACGCATCACTTGAATCTTTCGGTTCTAGTATCAAGCAGTATTTATCATACAAACCTTCCCTTAAAAGGTTTCTCTTTATCTCTTGCCTCCTTAGCCTGGTTTATTAAAAAGATGACGTGTAACTCAATATGAAGTAACCTTGCAGATATTGAATGCTATATTCGTATTATCCTGTGTGTATCCCGTGTAGCGCTATGCTGACGTGTCCACATGATCAGAAATAGTAATTGCTTATTGTTTGTCAACTGTCCGTTCACTCGGTTTACTAAAACCGTCCAAACTGAATTGTCAGATAATAGCCTATTATGTGCAATTCGTCTAAAATTACATGATCTAACTCAATGTTTAATAGAGGCTCATGTTCACAGCAAAAATTTTCTCAGCCCTTTTTTGATAATTCTTTTAATTCTTTTAGTGTTCTTTGCAATGGTGGCTTATTGTAAAAATCTTCCTCATGGTTCATATCCCATCTTTTATCTTTGTGAACTTTGCACCAGGTACAAGCATAGAATGAGGTGGCACCTTTGAGACCCAACATGATTAAAATGAATTTATAATCTCCCCCCAAAAAGAATTCAAGTTTTATTTCTTTCCCATTCATTGTGATTTTGGTCATTGAATTTAGATCATTTATGTCTGGAAAAACATTAGCAAATGACTCCTTCAGCGTTTCATAATTTTTTGAGCCCTTCACAATGGCGATTGTGTTATTTCCCCTTGCTGACATTAAATGACTGTTATTTTGCAACAAAGCAAAAGAAAGAACGATAAAGGTTGTATTGCGAGTCATCCTTGCCCCATCCCCTGATATTTTAACTTTAACAATTTCATTTTCAAAATTAAATTCTGGATTTTGGTCGATTAAATCTTGCACCCTTTCCTTGAGAAGTTCCTTGAATGAAACTTCTGCCCCCTCAGCCCTCCCAGGTGTAGATACAATATGGCACATGTCATTTAGTTGTGTTCGCCGTTGCTTGATTATATATGATTTAGGAAGATCATTATACATTGAGAACTCATGATAAAATGAGTCCCCCACACAAAATTTTTCTAATAGAAATAAAATTTTATCTACTTTTTCTTTTTCCTCTTCTGAAAGGGAGTCAAACCCTGTGGCAGTGTTTTCTTGCTGCTCATCACTGGCCATTTTTACATTATGTTTGCTTCCAGTCTGGACTTCTCTCATGGCAACTGACTCAATTTCTAGTCCAAAGGACTTGGCAAACCACAGTGCTGTCTGAGCTCTTGTCATGAAAGTCTTCAAAGTCCTCGACTTTTTCTTTACTTGAGAAATGTCTTTCCCCTTGTAGTCTTGCTGAGCTGTCTGCAGGCGTTCAATATAATCAATTAATTCTTTATTTGTGGTCTCAGCTTTTTCAACATCATCTTGAAGTGTTCTTATTTCAGCTTGCATTTCATGAAGCATTTTTCTCTTTTCTTCCTCCAAATTTGCATAGTTTGATTTCCACTCTTCAATTTCTTCATGCAGGGAAGAGTTCAACTCCTTTAGTTGTTCATTTTCCCTCTCCAGCTCTGCTACTGACTGAACATGTCTCTCAAACACATGGAACTTTTTTATTTTCGAGTTTAGGGCAAGGCTCTTTCTCCCCCTGATCTGCTTGTATTGAGACTTCACAGAAGAAGCTAATTTTCGCAGAGATTCATTCAACTCTCCTCTCACTTCTTCCGACTTTCTGATAGAAAACAGATTGCTAGGAATAATAAGTTCAAACAAGTCTATGTAAGTTTTATATTTTTTCCTCATACGTTTCTGAAATACTTCCAGCGTGATCGGACCTTGCGTCAGTTCACCATCAACGTGTTCTTCTTCCTCTGTCCCTTCATTTTCTGGTTTATCAAGGAATTCATTCAAAGCTTTAAGCATAGGGAAAGGTATGTCAAAGGTAAATGCAACATTTTCCGCCATGGACTGAGACATATTTCAGTGAAGGAGGTTGTGGTGCCAATTTCGTATTAAATATATAGTTGGGAGGAGGTGCGTCCGACATTGTAAATGTTTCAAGTGATTACGAAACTGGAGAGGTAAGATGTTTTATTACTTTATTGCAAAATAACAGATTGAGACCGGAAAGAAATGAGAAACTTGCGTCACGTTTATGCCTAAATTGGAAGTCACGCAACCATGTCACGGAATGGATAGCGTTACGGCAAAGCACGGTTATTTTTTAATATCACCCTTGAACCAATCAGTTTTCTTTATTTATATCATCTGACCTATGTAAACAAGCTAAGATACCAAGCCTTTGAAAGTACAAATGGCGTCGGAAACCATTTGTTCGGGAAGAACCGTCGATCCAACTTCTGCGACATCCTTTCTGACTAAAGGCGAAAGTTCTGTTCGTGATGAATACTGCAAATCTTCAACTTTACGGGGATCAAAAAGAATGCCACATTCATCCAAAAAAGCGGCACAAAATGAGAGATAAGAGACCCCAGTTCGCTGCGCGATGCTCGCAACCTACCAATATTGTCTTCTTTCGCGGATGTGCCGGGTCGAAGTTTGGCTATTTCAGCCAATTTACTGTGTTTGTATGGAAGTGCAATATGACTCTTATATGGGATTTGCGTAATTTGTTTGGGATCAAAGATGAAACGAGTGTGAACCTCGAAATTTCGTCCAAAGCAGCAACTCACTAACACAATAGCACACCGATGCTCGCAAGTACGATAATTATTTTTATTTTTTCAAAATTTTTTAATATTAGAACTTTGCCATACAAATCCTTAGAAGCTTCGGACATTTTTAAAGGGCATTAGGAAAACTCTGCGCATGCTTGGCCGCCATGATGTCCTTCATTTCTGCCCATTGCTCATGAATTTTAGAGCTGGGATTATGATTTATAGTATCAAAATATAATTGATTAACAAGGTAACCAAAGGCAGAAGAGAATGATCAAGGTCGTTTGTTTACCCTAGCTATCCACTGTCACAGAAAATGATTAATGATTGGGAATGATTAAATCCACTGATATCTGAAAAGGATATGTTCGTTTTAGGTCTAAGTATCGAAATGACATAAGTTTGAGTCCTCAGGCCCATAATTAAAGAAAGTGCTATTTTCATTCCGCTCTGGTGAACTTAAAGGGCTCCTCGCCACACTTCACAGAATTTACATACAACATAAAGTTTGTTTACCGACGGGATTACTCGACAAGATTGTATTCAGACTCCAAAGAAAGAAGAACGTAAAAAGCACTTGTAACATAACAGCCTTTGCTTCACCTCGAGAACCATGCTTTACATTAGACATGTAATGAAAATGCTGAATAAATTTAGCCGTCTCGTCAGGATTAATGAATAAAGAAAACAACCGCGTTCTTTCGTAAATACAATGTAGTTCCATGATATACTTGAGTTAAATAGAAAACGATATTGAGGTAAACTTTACTTCCATGATAGTCTCTCTTTTTTTTTTCACTCTGAGTCTCGATGAAACTATAACTTCACTTTTTAATGTTTAGGGGTTCTCAGCCTAGCACTCGGCATTTCATGGTATCGCTTCAGTTTCACACTCTATGCCGGAAGGATATGTTGAGGAAGGACCTCAAAACTCGATGTCAATTTGTTTAGGTTTTTGAGAGTTCGATGAAAATTCTAAGAATTTGGTTACGCGATAGGCGTCCTGAAACACCTTGTTCCGCGCTGTGCTGACGTGTCCATGTGATCATCAATAAAACTTGCTCATTGTGTACCAACTGTCCGTTCACTGGGTTTACTAAAACCGTTCAAACTGAATTGTCAGACAATAGGCTCAGAAAATTGATGCTGGAATAGTTAATTACTACCACCATCAATAAAAAATTGACGAAGGGAATAAGGTCCAGAAGATTCTTTTGTAACAGAACAAAAGTGACCGGGAATGAATAACAAGTAGTGATATTTGGAGAGGAAGATTTTGGCATTGAATCAAAATGTAAACATTTCACAGATTTGGTTCTTCAGGACCATAATAGAATCGTGATTTCCGCTAGGTTTTAGAGAAAGTGAGGACATATTGTAAGATTTTCAAATAATTGTTCAATTTGCTCGAATAACCGTTCCCTCGGTGTTAACTGCCCGATATTTTTTTATCCATTAACCGCTTCAATACAGTAGCTATTTTCAAATAATTTGGCAAAAATCTACAGTTAAGAAGCCCACTTTGTTATCATTTTAAGAGATGCACTTCCCTGATCCTAAGTGTGGTAGTATATTTTGAGAGGAAACTAGTCTTTGATCAGGCTTATGCATTGTGATCAAACACAATTGTGAACACGAGATCAACATGCAAAATTTGTTTTTTGTAGAGAAATGCTTTTTCATTATTAGTTCTTTTATAATTTCGTCACATAAAAGATATCCAAGCTGATTTCACTCTATCCTAGAGTGCAGGAGAAGAAAGAAGAAGAAAGAGCTTTCGCTTCACAAAAACTATTTCATAACAGACCTACCTAGCCAAACTGTGATTGAATATTGTCGAAGTGACCACCAATGGAGATTACTTATCAGTCTGTGTGGTTTACTAGAGAAAGGATGTCGTGAATCATGCAAAATCATATCGTCTTTGCCTACTTTTTTTTATTTGATAATTATACTTTTAACTGCACACTAATTCTAAAACTTTCTTGAATAAATTTATGGAGTAGCTTCTCTTGGTAAATCATGGATCTTTCCGCTCAGCTTTTTCCTCTGTTTACTTGAACTGTATACAGAAAATTATCGAATGAATGTTTTGAATAGCTCAACTCTGAATCTCAATATATCGACATTTGCAGTTTCTCAGTGAATAAAATGAGAAAGAAAAAGTTAGCGTTTCAAGGAATGCCATAATGCGCTGCAACTCATGCTTAACTGATATGACAATGTTACAAATGTGGCGGCGAAACAACAACGAAATAAGTCATTCCGAAATAATACGAAAAATATGGGTTTCGTCGTCATGGGTCTCGTTAAGTACCCTGTCCTGTCCTGGATATCCTGTGTGAAAAGCGAAAGTGACAAGTTAGATTCGGAGGCGAGGCGTGGTTACAACTTAAGCCTTTCTTCTTTTTTCCTCTCTTTGTTTGTCTATCACAAGTGCGAAGTCGGCTTAGTCGACAGAAGGACATAAAAGGTTAGATCGCAAAATAGATCTGAAACGTCTTCTCTGTTTTCGCTGAAAGAGCAAAAGGGAGGAATGAGGGAAAATGAGAAAGCGGGTGTAACGAATACCATAATGTGCCCAAATCTAGGCTTGGTACTAAAACAAGGTGAGCCACGCTTATTGTGGTTACGCCGTCTTAGCGTTTATTTGTGAAGAGAGAATCCTTGAAATTCAGAGGAGAGTTTAAAATAAGCACTCAATTCGACTTCCTTTAAGAGAGTCCAACTCTGTTTATTTCGATTTTTTCATCGCCATGAAATATCTGGAAGGTGCATCCAGAGGTAGATCCTATGTTTGCACCTACAAAAAGCAGTGGACGGCGTAAGACAGTGGGGGTTAATAATAATAATAATAATAATAACGAATTTTTATACAGGATTGAAAAACCCATCAGTGTGTAACACTGTTGTCCTTGGGGTCCTGTCAAAAATAATAAATAAATAAATAAAATAAAATTTAACAAGATATAATCATTGATCTTAAGGTCTAGAAAAGCATACAATAAAATGAAAAAAAAAAAAAAAAAAAAAAAATTAAAAATTAAATAAAAATGCTCTGAAAAGGATACCTATAACCACGTTTAGATAGAATTTAACTAAAATAATCTCGCAATTTGTTCTTAAATTTCAGTCTCGAATCTAACGACCTTAGTTCAGCAGGCAGGTTGTTGAAAGTCTTTGCTCCTTGGTAATAGAAGCTCTTTTTACCAAATTCTAAACGAACTTTGGGTAATTTCACTGATATACCGTTATTCCTAGTGGCCTTAGAATGAACCAGCCTTTCGAAGTAGTTCTTAAAGGGTGTGCAAACATTATTCAGGAGACAGTCGAAAACAAACAGACAGCTTTTACGCTTGATCAAATTGTTCACGGATGGGGGATTAAAAGAACTATTGCCGATAACTTTAAAGCCTCGTCGTTCGATGTTCTTTATCATTTCCTTTCGGTAATCCGGAAAGCTAAGACCAAGTGTTCCGCAATAGGTAAAGATAGGTGCGATCATAGTGTTATAGATCGATTCTGCACACTTTTGGTCGATCAAAGGACGAATTGATCGCAAGAGATTGATTCTGGTTGCAGCTTTTTTATAGATTCGGTCAAAATGTGATGCGAGGTTTAGTGATGAGTCAAGGTGAACACCTAAGTACTTATAGGTAGAGGTATTATTGATGAGTGACCCATTAGCAGAAAGTTTAAGTTCCTTGTCTTGAAGGTTGATTCTTTTAGCTGTTCCAAATAACATAGACTCCGTCTTGTCCTTTTTTAGGTTAATGATCAGTTCGTTGTCTTTAAACCACTCGCACAGGTTATTCATATCCTCGCTAAGGCTTCTCTGTATAGTATCAATATCTTTAGAAGAGGTATAGATGACTGAATCGTCGGCATAAGTGATAATCTTCGAGTGTTGAAGCGGTTTATGTACATCGTTGAAAAAGATAATGAATAAGATAGGACCCAGGATACTTCCCTGAGGAACACCTGTGAGAATGGGTTGAGGTTCTGATAGCACGCCTTTATATTGGACAACTTGTGATCTGCAGAAAAGGTAATCAGTGAACCATGCGAGTTCTGTTCCACGAACTCCGTAAGTTGAAAGCTTGCTCAGGAGGCCAGAGTGACTGATGGTGTCAAACGCCTTGGATAGATCGATGAAAACACAGCCTGTCAGGTTACCATTCTCACCTTCTCTTCTGATAACATCGGTAAGATGAGTAACGGCCAGTTCAGTAGAGCGCATGCGACGGAAGCCGTACTGAAAATGAGAAAGTAGACCATTCTGTTCAAAATGAGCCATCAGCTGCTTAAATACCACTTTCTCCAGGATCTTTGACATTGAAGGAAGTATTGAAATAGGCCTATAATTGTCGATTTCGGCCATTGAACCAGATTTAAAAAGTGGTACAATTTTAGCCGCTTTCCAGTCAGTAGGTACAGACCCTGTTGCGAGAGACAGGTTAATTATATGCGTGAGAGGCTTGGCTATTATATCAGCAGAGTCCTTTAACATTCCAGAAGGAAAGTTGTCAAGGCCAGAGGACTTATTTCTCTTAAGGCTCTTTAATGCATTAAAGACAACCTTTTCCGAGACTGATCTAAACTCAAAGTTCTCTAGCGGCTGCTGGGTGTCTATTGTAAGGGGCCTTTTCCAGACAAAATTGCAAAGAGGGAAGATCTTTCTTTTTAGAGATCGCGCAACGTCAGTGAAGAATTTGCAGAACAAATTTGCAATAACCTCTTTGTCGGTTTCTACTGCTTCATTAACGAGAAAAGCTGCTCCTGGTTCCTTTGTAGACTTTGTAGGGTATAGTTTTTTAATAGCTGACCAAAATTTGTTAGGTGAACCCACAGTCTCCTCTAAGAGTTCACGGTGATACCTGCTTTTGCAATTTTTTACCATACCGTTAACTTTGTTTCGTTGGCGCTTGTACGAAGACCAGTCAATTTCACGATTTGTCTTTCTCGCTTTTCTCAAAAGCTGATCTTTGGTATTCATTTCTTGCTTTACCTTCTGTGTAAGCCATGGGCTGAGTTTCCCTTTGATCCTCTTCTTTATAGCTGGCGCATGCTTATCAATACATTCTTTCAGAATGGCTTTCAAAAAAGACCATGCTTCATTAACGCAGGAGGATTTAAAGACAGGTGTGAAACTATTGGACCGTAAATCATTGCAAAAGGATATAGGATCATAATTAGCATAGTTTCGACAGGTGATGGTTCTTGGCTGGAATTTATGGTTATGCAGCTTCCGGACACAACCAATCATATCATGGTCACTTAAGCCGGCGGGAATGACTTTAACACTATAAACATTCTGAGGGCGATTTGTGTAAATCACATCTATCAGTGTTTTTGAATCTTGCGTTACCCTCGTGGGATCCTTGATTAGCTGTTTAAGGCCAAAAGACAATAGCATTGCCTTCAGTTCTTTGTTGTCTGAGCTTACCAAATAGTTGCAGTTGATATCGCCTGTCAAAATGCATTCTTTGTTTTCAGATGATACAGCAGAAAGCATCGACTCCAGTTTATTTTCAAAATCTGCACAAAGATGCTTTGAAGAACTCGGGGGCGATAAATAAAACCAATAAGGATACCCTTAGATTTTGGAAATAAAATTTCTATCCAGATACATTCGATCCCATCGCGTTCCAGGTCTAGTCTTCTATGAAAGGGGACAGAAGAGGAGATATAAACTCCCACACCTCCACCTTTGCCTGTTTTCCTTGGTCTATTAATGAACGTATAGCCATCCAGTTGAACTTGAGCCTCTTCACTGTCCGATAGATGAGTCTCACTGAGGGATATGATGTCTATATGCTTGGAATCATCGATCATTTGGCATAGACTATCCCTGTTCGCCACGAGGCCTCTGATATTTTGATGAATAATTGTAAGCCCATTTTTCGTTGACAAATCCCGAAGATCAGACAGGATGTCATGTGAACTAGAGGAGCCAACAGGACCAGGTTGAAGTTCAACATCATTTGCGAGACGAATGAGTAGTAAGGAAAGAGAGGAATTAATCGCAAAACGGCATCCAAGGAGTAGAAGTCTTGAATTCGGCAACTGGAGATTCTTTGCATGTTGCGAGCTCGGTGACCGATGGTTAAAAGGTTGAATTCTCACTGTCGTCAGACCGTGAGAAATGAAGAGAAGAGTATCACCAGATATATCGAGGTCAGGATTAGCCTTGGGAAGGAGTGCACCAGAGAAACAAACGTAGAAATAAAGCAGAATGATCCAGCATCTAAGAGCTCTAAAAACGTGACCGTCCGCCATATTGATATGGTATATATCATATTGATATAAAAATGGTTAATCAAAGAATCTTCTGCGTACTGGTGGCGATTTCTGCAGCCGAGCAAGTGGCGACTTGACATTCATTATTTCATACCGGTTTCAAAACGAGCAACTCGACTGAGGGTCATGGACATCCTCTTTTGGTGTTCCGAACTCGCTGACTATCCGTGCTTTTGTCTCCACTCAGTTGGGCTAAAAAGGTCTCCGTAATATCCGCAGCGTGAAGCTTAAAAATACAGGTTTCCACGACAGAATAATTGGTTACTCGTTCCCCTTCAAGCTGAAGGTCAACATCCTTTGCAGCTGTGGATAGAGAGTTGTAGATAATCGGTGTGGATAATAGATTAAACTATTTTAAATAGTTCAAGTTATCATTTGCGCAACAAAGACTCGATTTTTCAAACACTTTAACTTACGGCAAAAATACTTTACTTCAGACCTGCGCTATGGAACAGACTACACAACCAGACAAATAATTATTTAACCTTCAGTCCTCTAAAAACACCATAAGAAAATTCGATATCATTGGTATTTTAGATCGTAACAGTAGGTGTTGCTACTTCTATGAATAATGATTTTAGATTTTGGATCCAAATTATAGATTGTAGATTTTAGATTGTAATTGTGAGATTAGAATAACTATTGTGCAGTTGATATAAGGCTCTTAATCAATTTTTTCAATGTTCAATTGTCGGCTAAATTCTATAGTGTCCCCAAATAGCTCGTACATAAATACATTTGACACTGAAATACATGTTTGTTAACATTTAAAAACTTCTGTCTTAATTTGTATTTGTTGAGAAAAAGGACGGAAGCAGATACATTGAGCACCATAAAGTGACTCGTGCTTAGGATGCAAACAAGGCTGAGTGAAAAACAAGGTAAGCCATGCTTGTTGTGGTCGCACGGTCTTGGCGCATGTTTATAATTAGTGGTAACTTTTAAATACAGCTAGGAGAGCGTTCAACACGCACTCAAATCGACTCTCTTTCTAAAAGTTCATTCATTTTGCAAAGCAAAAATCAAGGAGGTGGTTAGAGAATATTTGATGGCAGAGAGTAAAGATAAACGGAAAGCCCGTCAAGCGAGAGAGACATTAACAAGGGAACAATGCAAATGATAACTGCAGATTGTGTTGCTGTGATTTTTCCATAAGATAAAACGGAGTCTCCCGATGGGTTTAGAAACCACTTTGATTGGTTCGTCGCGCTTCGCTGATTCAAAATATTTCAAGCTTTTAGTGGCTTTTGCCATCTTCTGTTTCTTCGCTAGTATGTAGTCCCCAACCTAAGACGGCAGGAACCGCGTGAGGAAGAATTCGATGGCCAAGAAATCTCTCAGTTTCCGGAAAGCGCTTCCTTATTCCTCGAGAGACAATGACGCCAGTTTTTCGGTGTCAATCAATGACTTTGAGAGTGTCCCTTCTTGCCGCAGGTGACACTACCCTGTCATTCGATTACTTATTAACCGGGAGGTGATCAGAAACCTTCCTTGAATTCACTTCCTTCCTCGCTAGAACTAAGATGATAAAAACAGTAATACTATTGCCGAAGCCCTTGGAAAGAATGGCTCAAACATTTTTCCGTTTACCGCAATGCTTGATTAAACAAAAACTTCATGACCTGCTCTACATCTTTCTTTGACAAACTCTTAAACCCCTCTCGACACATATTCGGTGACGAAAAAGCTTTTTGTGTCGTTTTTTTTTTTTCACCGCCCACATTTCCATCTCGTTACAGCCGTAGTCAACATACACTAATTTCAAGGAAAGCATTCTGAGGGGAAAACACTTTAATGGGGATTTTTCATCATGTGAACAGACAACCAGCCACCGTCTCAAGCCTCGTCGCTTTAGCAAACAAGAAAAGCCACCAGCTACGCGAGATGGCCTGCTTATGTTGTTTCATTAGATGTGGAGTATTTATGCTCCCCGTTGCCCATGCATAGTAAATAGTTTGTATCGCCTGCACAATATGCATCACATCTCTTACATTTAAATTCGTTTCAAAGGTTGTTGGTTCACCATAGAGGGCTTTGTTTTCGTAATTTGCTTATGACGACTGGTTCCTATAGTCGGGTTAAGCTTTCCAGCTGAGAGTACTAGGCTCCTTTAGTAAGAAGTTGGCAATTTTCCGATCCGTGGGTTTGTCTATGTGCACTGGTGTCTCCTTAAAAGAGATTGGTCAACTTGTTATCACAAATTTCTAGCCTTAAAACCGATAAAGCGAATGTTTTGTGGCTATTTCAAGGTTGTGGTGTTATTATGGTAACTAAATGTCATAAAAACTATCACGATTTGTTGAGGCGGAAATAATCTGGCATTTTTACATTGTATTGAAGAAACAGAAAGAAAAGTTCGATCTTGTCGAAAGCTCAGAGCCATCAAGGATGGAAAATTAGAGAAACCTGTGCGTGCTCCTTGAGGTGTTCAACAGTTCATCTTTAGTCAGTTGCACTTTTTTTCTTATATAAAAATTCCATTTTGTAAACTCACAGCTTCAAAAACAAGCTTTGCAAACAATCTTCTTCTTTTTTTATACTCTCTTTTTAATATTTGCTTTCGAATAGGTAAACTATTTTTAAAATTTTCACAAAACTCCCTAACTCTTTACTCTGGACTTCGCCTCCTTTCTCACTTTGCTTAATCGAAAAAGTTGTGTTTACGAGCTTATTTCTATGGCTGTTAAAAGCAAAAAGAAGGAATGTTTCTGACAAGTGATGATAGCAGTAACCATTGTTAAGGAGATGATCATAAACTATATATTATGATATCACATTCATGCTCTTATCAAAGTTAACAGAGCGTTAATAGCAAAGAATGGTATGAGCTGCCTGAACTTTTAAATTTCGAAGTATTTTCTTACTTAGAATTATAGTACTAGCCATTATCAACATCCTCGGATCCAAAAAAAAATCCGAATTAAATGGAAATATCACCCCTGGTCTCTTCATCTCTGTAATTGATTCATTAAGGGGTGGGGTAGGGAGGTGTGACTTATGTGACAACACACACACAACAGATGAGCTGAGAGTATTTGAGTCCATTTAAGGATATTGAACGTGTCTGATATTACTGTTCTTGGGATCAACTTTTATCAATAAAATTGAAAGTTATTTACTCAATAAAAATTGAAATTAACCAGACGTTAGTATAATGTTCAATGCACAGCTTTATTGCTACTTTTACTTTTAAAGAGGCTGATAAACACTCATTTATCAAAGAACCAATTTTGACAATCAATCCATAAATCTAAACCTTTTTCTTCGATTATTGAACAAATACTATCACTACACCAATGCATAAGCAGCTAAGACTCCTGGTCATTACACTTTTCGTCTTGGGTCCCTATTTCTACACCCACTTGTACAAAGCGCTGTTTATGTTGTATTTCTGATTGTAGTAGTTTGCTACTGCCAGATAAGTGTGACCTTTGTATTCAAATGATGTCATATCACGAGCCCCATGGGTGGAAATCTCTTGATACTTGACGAACTGTGATCCAGAGGCCTGATACACAGCTGACTGAATGTTTTTTTTCCGGCTGCTGCATTGGAAATTGGCCACACCCAGATAGGTATGACCGCTGATCACGAAAGGATGCCAAGCGAGGGCTCCACGAGTAGGAATGGATTGGAAAAGAACGAACTTGGTACCATCCCATTTATAAATAAACGAGTCAGTGTTGTAGGAACTTCCAGAGTAGTAGCAGGCAAAAGCGAGGAATGTGTGACCATTGATATTAACAGACTTAACGTCATATGCACCATAAGTTTGAAGAGACTGTAGTTTGACAAAGTGTCCTCCTGACCACTTAAAGACAGTGGACTGAACAGAATGCTTCTGTTGAGAGTTGTAATGGTTGGCGAAAGCGATGAAAGTGACATTGTTTATTCCAAATGCCGTACATCCCATGGCACCTTCAGTTGCTATCTCTTGGAACTTGTTAACTTAAAGCCATTCCATTTGTAGATGACTGACTCTGTTGAGTAGGTACTTTCGTCTTGACGATTTGCCACTGTGAGAAATTTTTCTCTGTTTGATGTGAAGAACTTGAAGTGTGCAGCTCCTTTTGTTGGTAATTTCTGAAATACCATAAACCGCTGTCCATTCCACTGGAAGACTACAGAGTCAAGTTGGTACGTACCATCCCAATGATTAGCCACAGCAAGGAAATGTTTATCAGCGATAGAAAAGTACTCAACGCCATGTGTACCTCTAGTTTGTAGGGTCTGGTACAATGTGAACTTTTCAGTCGGTTCATCCATCTTGTAAACTACGGAGCCTGTCTTGTGTTTCTGAATATCTCCTTGATAGTTCCCAAAGGTGAGGAACAGACTTCCATTAATGGTAAAGTGTTGAACAGCTGCAGCTCCTCTGGTTGGCAAGTCTTGAACTTTCTCGAAGAAGTAGAAACCAGTCGAACATTCTTTCATAAAAACAAAACAAATGGTTAACAGAGTTTACCTCTCATTCGTTGTTTCTGGTCATTCGCCTTTTAAAGTGGCTCAGAATGGTTTCGTTCTTTTTAATCACCATATTGTAACGTAAAGAAGCTTTAACAGTTTCCTCATTTTTGGGAATTTCCATAAGCCATGCAAAACTGTTATTCAACAATTATTTTTCACAAACCTAATGTTACCAAAGCAACATTCAATCCTCTAAAACACTTAATTCTCTATCATTGTATTGCAGTCAGCGTATTAGAACACATTTTTTTTCAAAGTTATATAGAGAATAGAACGACTTGACCCAGCCGAGAAAATCTCATTTACACTGGAACGAAAACTACTTATAGAGTAAAAATGTCTACTCGAGACTTATGGCAACTCCTTTTCCTGTCAGCGATTTCAGCTTTCATTTGATTGTTCTTACGTTTTGGAAGGCATTTTTAGCACTTTTTGTAAATTATAATGAGAATTCCCTAAAAGCTTAAATTAAAGCATAGGCAATGCAAAAATAATTTGATTAACCAAAAATA